ACATACACAGCGTTCCCTTGCACCACGGGCGCCAAACACTGTCTATTCTTGGTTCTCTTGCTTTGCAACAAGGAGGAGGAAAGGAAAGGAGGAGAAGGAGGGGGAAAGAGTAAGGGGGACAAGGAGGAGGTGCTGGGGGGGAGGCCGCGGGGAGCACTTGAGCTTCCAAAACCCCCTAAAAACCGAAATAACCAAAAATACACCGTGGTTCCTTGCATCCTAGATCAAAAAAACAAAACATGCACAGCGTGTCCTTGTCCCGAGGGCTCCAAACACTGTGTATTCTTCGTTTTGCGTTGCTACAGAGTGGAAGCGGAAAGGAGAAGGAGGAGAAGGATGATGGGCCAGGAGGAGGAGGAGGAATTGTGTTTGGAGAAGGAGGAAATGTGTGTATATGTATGTACAACGGGGGCAACCATACATGTACATATGTGTATGTGTTTCTAAATGTGTGTATATGTATGTACGTATGGATGGATGTATGTATGTATGTGTGTATATAAGTTGTGTGTGTGTGTGACCAGTTCTCTATGTCTGAACGTAGGTAAATGTGCAAACACTGGATTCGCACATGTGCAGGCTTCACTCACGCACTCCTTTTATACAAGGTGGCATACATGTATGTGTACATGTATATGTATATGTATATGTATATGTATATGCATAGGTATATGTACATACACATGTGCACACGCATGCATGTCTTCAAACATGTATACGCATGCATGCACAAGAGAATATGTGTGTGGGCCGCCGTGGATATCCCTCTCTGTCTCTTTCTCTGAGTCCTGCTCTGTTCCCAAAACAATGTTTGCACTTGGGAGGTCTGACTTCTCTTCGTTAAGTAAATTGGTTAGTATCCAATGTTTTTGCCAAGTTGCGGCCCGTCCGCCCGTGCCGCCTTGTGGGCGCCCCTTGCTCTGAGCTTCTGCGACATCCGCCGCCGTGCCTCTGGGAACGGAGTGGGCGTGTCCTCAGGTCCTTTGCCTAATCCCTGGAACCTCAATCCTGTCCTGAAGAGTCTTTACGGAGCCTGGACCCAAAATTGCCAAATCTCCCAGGGCTTCCCGCGATTCCCTTGGGCCTCCCCGAGTCTTGTCGCAAGGCTTTATGGGGCCCAATGCGGTCCGGAGAAGGGCCAAGAGGGTCTCGAGAGGCTCCCAAAACAGCCCAAGAGGGCCCCGTGTCGCCGAACGATCGCTCCAAGACGCCCCAGATGGCCCCGAGACGGCATCAGAGGCCCCCAAGACGCCAAAAAGGCCTCGAAGAGACCTCCGGGGACGGCCACAAGAAGCAACAATCAGTGATTGTTCTTAGATGCTTGAAAGATTTGGGCATGCTCGCCTTTTCGTCTTTCCGACGCTCCAAGACAGCACAGAAGGCCCCCAGGACCACCCCAAAACGACCGCAGAGGCCACCAAGAGGACCCCAAGATGGCCTAAGAGCGCCCCAAAAAAAGAGGGCCCAAAGACTGCCCCTAAAGGGGCCCAAGAGAGGGAACACGACCGAGAATCCGGCCCTTCCTCCCAAAGAGGCCTCCAGGAGGCCCCAAGAGGCACCCAGGCCCCCAATAAGCCCCCAAGAGGCCCCTAAGAGGCCGCAACAGGCCCGAAAGAGGCCCCAAGAGGCCTCCGAGAGGCCCCCGAGAGGCCTCCAACGAGACCCCAACGAACATCCAATAGGCTTCATACCAGCAAACCAGTCAGGGCAGCGGGATGGGCCGAAGGCCATGAGATAAAGCTTTCACCACATAGCTTACATCACATAGCGTACACCACATGTAGTGCACAACATAGCTTACAACACATAGTTTACACCCGATAGCTTTCACATCCAGTTGACATCACCTACCGTACATGGCATAGCTTACATTACATAGCATATTCCGCATAGTGCATAGTGTTCATTTCGTCAGCTCACAGCAAACAACCTTCACCGTATGGCTTGTACCGCAAAGCTTTCAACTCCACAGTGCGAGAACGTAGTGAGGTGTCCAAGCTGACCTACACGTAGTTCTAAACATTCATTGCCATTCGTGTGTACATACAGATGTATACGAATGTATGCATATGCTTACATCCATACATACATACATACATGCATGCACGCATGCATACAGACAGACAGACAGACAGGCAGACAGACAGAGAGACAGACAGACAGACAGACAGACAGACATTCATCCATACATGCATACATGCATGTATAATGCATAGGTACCTACATACATACATACATACATACATACAGACAGACAGACAGACAGACAGGCAGGCAGGCAGACAGACAGGCAGGCATAAATACATTCATACATACATACATACATACATACATACATACATACATACATGCATGCATACATACATACATACATACATACATACATACATACATGCAGACATGCATACAAATATACATACATGCATGCATATATACGTACATACACATATACATACATACACAACCATACATACATACATACATACATACATACATACATACATACATACATACATACATGCATACATACATGCATACATACATACATATATACATACATGCATGCATGCATACATACATAAATCTGCATTTTGATATATGCTGTATCTACATGTGTCTATCCACATAGAATATTGAATATCCGCCACCGTGCCTCTGGGCACGGAGTGGGCGTTTCCTCAGGTCCTTCGCCCAATCCCCTGAGCCGCAGTTCTCGATCCGAATGGTTGAAGGGGGCCCGTACCCCAATTCCGAAATCTCCTGGGGCTCGTCGGGTGCCCTCTAATTAGGCTCCCCCGCGGATTGTTGCATGACTCTGTCGGGCCTGAGTTGACGAAAGCAGACGCGGACGCGCGGCTGAAGGGGGCCTTCAGAGGCTCTGTCTGCGGCGATCGGAAATGTCTAAGATTCAGCACTGAAGTCTCACAAGGTCGAAGACTTTGATGATCGAAAATCTTGGGTCGATCGAAGGAAGCTCAAACATCGAGGTCCGAGGGTCGACGATCGAAGATCGCGACTCAAAGATCGATGCCGTTGAACGCCCTTGGCCCCTTTGGGGGCGTCCGCAGGCGGCCTCCCCCGGGGCCTCCCAAGGACCTCTGAGCCTGGGAATCCGGTGGTGGAGAGCTGGGCCCCGTGGAGACTTCCCCTTGCTGGGGGGGAACGTCAGTTAACGGGCGAAGAACGGTATGAAATAAACTTTTTCGCTGTCGGGGGCGCCTGTCCCTGGGCGGCTGGAAAGTTTATACCCCTACGGTGGCACCGTAGCGGTATGAACTTTCCAGCCGCCCAGGGACAGGCGCCCCCGACAGCGGAAAAGTTTATTTCATACCGTTCTTCGCCCGTTAAGTCAGGGGGGCCTGGCTCGGCGGGGGGGGAAACGTTGATCGAGCTCGAGCTGCGAGGCCTGAAAGTCGCAGTTCTCTGGCTGGGCTCTCGGCGGCCGTCCGGCCTCGGGGTGCCCTGCAGCAGCTGCGCATCGCCGAGAGCGTTCCGGGGCAAGCCAGATCGTCCCGAACGGCCGCCGGTGGCGGCCACTGGCGGCCGTTCTGGACATAACTCGGGCCACCAGGTGGCACGAGTCAGCGCCGATAGATCGGCGATGGGCCCAAAGGGCGGATCCGCTCGCTGCTGGGCGGAGTGTGCCGTCGGGCCCTCATCGGCGATGACAGGGCCCTTGGGGGTCGATGCATCCCACCCTGAGCCTACCCCCCCCTACAGTAGGAACTCGACCACAAGAGACCTTCCAGAAGAAAACCAACCCTGAGAACCCAGGACGAGCATTGACTTTTGGTGTGGGAACGTCACGTTCTGCACAGCAGAACCATCGAAACCGAAGAAACCCAATCACCCTGGAGGCAAGCAGGGTGTTTCTTGGCATGGGTTTCCACTGTAACGTAGCCCCTGGCATGCGGCTCTCGGAGATCTTCACGGGCTCGGGGATCGAGATTCAAGGGCCGAGGCAGGTCGACGCTTTCGGCACTCCGTGAGAGCCTCAGGGGGCCTCCTAGGACCTCCGCGGACCTCCAGGGGGTAGGATCCGAAGCGTCGCTAAGGTGTGCCACTTCAGAGGGTCTCCCTGCGGTTATCGGGGGCCGTTGCGACAGGCTGCCGAAGGCCATGGTAGTCCTACCCTACTCCTCCCTCCTCCGCCTCCTCCGCCTCTTCCTCCTCCTCTTCCTCCTCCTCTTCCTCCCCCTCCTCCTCCCTCTCCTATTCCTTCTCCTCCTCCTCTCCTCCCTCCTCCACCTCCTCCTCCTCTCCTCCTCCTCCTCCTCCTCCTCCCTCCTCCTCCTCCCTCCTCTCCTCCTCCTCCTCCTCCTCTCCTCTCTCCTCCTCCTCCTCCTCCTCCTCCTCCTCCTCCTCCTCCTCCTCCTCCTCCTCCTCCCGTTCCCCCTGCCCCCGCCTCGCGCGCGCGGGCGAGCGCGCACACAGAGCGCCAGGCGAGAGATGCTCGAGGGCTCTCGCAGGTCTTCTGGAGGCTCTCATCACCAGGGCTGTGTCCTGGCAGGAGCGCGCCCTGGCACAGGTCCGGGGGTCGATCTTGAGAGGGTGAGTCGCCAGGGGGGAGACGGGTCCGGAGGGAAACGGGTCCTGAGTTGTTTCGCTGTTTTTAGCTTCCCGGGGTCTTGCACGGGCCCCGTGACCGTCAGAAGACCATCCAGAATGAAGAGCTGGTCCTGGGAGAAGGCCCCAGGGTCCAGAACCTGTTTCCCACAGGACCCGTTTCCCACAGGACCTGTTCCCCCATGCTAGGTGAGAGAGCATTTTCACATGACAGGAACCAGGCGAACTGTCTGCAAGGCTTGCGAGGCCAGCAAGCGATAAATCTAACGAGCAGTGCTACAGAATGACTTCCACACCATCAGCAATATGGTGGGCAACCGGCTCACAACTTGAAAGCAGATCAGTCCAGTGGAACAGGCGAAAGACGAAAGAAAAGAAGTGGAGGAGGGGGGGTGTGGAACAAGTCGCTGTGGAAATCGGCAAGACTCACCTGTCTACTTGTTGCACTCCTGGTCTACTCTGGCGAGTGGGTAGCCGAACTGGTTGCCCAGTGCGGGCCGCTGATTTGGACCCAGGACAAGGCGCGTGCACTTGTTGGCATTGAACCCCGACGCGCAGAACTTCGCCTTGTAGTCCAGGGCGGCACGGTTGACCATAAACGTGAGGTGGCAGATCATGAACGCCGAGCGCTTACCGATCACGCCCTTCTGCTTGTTGAAGAGGTCGTCGGGCGGCGGCGTGATCAGCGGCTCGTCGCAGCTAAGGATGGTGGAGGGCACATGGCCCTTGTGGAAGTTCCAGAGGTCGGAGCCACTCTCGGGGCACTCCTCGGCCTCCAGGCATCGTCTATCCGATAGCAGTCCTCCTCCCCCTCCTCTTCTTCTTCTTCTTTTTCTTCTTCCTCCTCCTCCTCCTCCCCCTCCTCCTCCTCCTCATCCTCCTCGTCCTTGTCGTCATCGTCGTCATCAGCATCATCTGCATCATCATCATCATCATCATCATCATCATCATCAGCAGCAGCAGCAGCAGCAGCATCATCAGCATCATCATCACAACCACCACCATCAAAATCCTCATCATCATCATCATCATCATCGTCATCGTCATCATCATCATCATCATCATCATCATCATCCTCCTCATCATCATCATCATCATCATCATCACTATCATCATCACCATCACCATCAGAATCATCATCACCATCACCATCACCATCACCATCATGATAATCATCATCATCATCATCATCATCATCATCATCATCAGCATCATCATCATCAGCATCATCATCATCATCATCATCATCATCATCATCATCTTGATCATCATCATCATCATCATCAGCATCATCATCATCCTTCCTCCTCTTCCTCCTCCTCCTCCTCCTCCTGCTGCTGGCCTTGGCCCCGCTGGCCGACTTACACCTCCGCACGGTCGGGAACTTCTGCTTAACATGTCGCGGTGGCCGCCCCAGCGACATGGCCCGTCCCTCTGCTGCGCGGGGCGGGAGGATCGGACAGGCTCGGCGCGTGGACGCCCGTGGGACCTCTACGCGGATAGCGTGTGGCGCCGGATCGTGGTGGGCTATGTCGGGCGTGTCCTCCTACAAGGGGATTTTCGACGAAAAAATAAAAATGCCCCGAAAATACTCCAAAAAGGCAAAAAACAAAAAAACAAAAAAAAAGTCCCCAGACTATTCTTGGAGTATTGTTTGACTATGTTGGGGGTATTTTCTATTTTTCGTCGAAAACCCCCCTGTAGGGGGACGGGCCCGACTTAATGGTGGGCCAGAACAGGCGGAGCGACACGCGAAACCATAGCTGCTGACCGTAGCCCCGCCGGCGGACTTCCCCCCTGCATGAGGATGCGCGTTGCTTCCTTCGGGCTTCGCGGGGCCTATCCCACCCGGGGGGTGGACTGATGGGGCTGAGGTGCCCTGGCCCGGTCAGGATCAGGGTATAACCCGGAGAAGCAATTAAGGAACCCACCGGCGTTATCATTAGCACCGCGCCGTAATGAAATAATTATTTGGGGGGGTTTTCGCCGAGCGATATTATTAGCACCGCGCACATGGAAGGAAAATAATTAATTCCAGCGCCCCGCCTCGGGTGACATCCCAATTAGAATTGTAATGAAAATAAGAATACGAATACGAATAAGGAAAAACTAAGAAAAGCTAAGGAAAAGCTTAGAAAAGCTAAGAAAAAGCTGAGAAAAGCTGAGGAAAGCTAAGGAAAGGCTAAGACAAGCTAAGAAAAAGCTGAGAAAAGCTCAGGAAAAGATCAAGAAAAGCTGAGAAAAGCGGAGAAAAGCTAAGGAAAAGCTGAGAAAAGCTAAGGACAACTAATGAAAAGCTAAGGAAAACTATTGAAAGGCTAGGGAAAAGCTAAGGAAAACTAAGGAAAACTTAAGAAAAGCTGAAGAAAACTAAGGAAAAGCTAAGGAAAAGCTAAGGACAACTAAGGAAAAGCTAAGGAGAACTTGTGACCCTCGCAGTGACCCTCGCAGAGTACCCCCAAGGCCTGAGTATGGAGGAAGTCCAAGGCGGGAGCTTTGTCTGTGAGCGCGTCCTCCTCCGTGTCCTCCTCCTCCTCTTCCTCCTCCTCCTCATCCTCCTTCTCTTCCTCCAGCCCCCATTTTTCTAATGAGATTTCTATTGCAACCCCTTTGGAAAAATTATTTTTTTCGGCCGTCGTAGGAGGTGGTCCATCCCAGGGTATCGCCCCCGCCCCGCACCGCGGCGTTATCTTAGCACCCGGCAGGACCAAAATAAATCCCCGAGCCAGAGTAGGAGTGGATCAGTGTACATGGTTACGGCACCGAACAGCGAGGGTCGAGCACTGGAAAGACGCGTGGCCACTGAAGCTCTCTGACTCCTCCGCATGCGTTTCCTCATTCTTTCAGGAGGGTGTACCCCCTCCTGGTGCCAGGATAACGCTTCCGGGTGCCGGGTGCGTTATCTTTTCACCGGAGAGGGGGGGGGGGGGTCCTTAATCGCTTATCCGGGTTAGGTCAGGGGGAATCCAATGGGTACTGATACCAGCACTCCCCAGTCCTCTCCCGTGGTGGGTTCTGGCCAGAACTTCGATGCGAATCCAGCGGTGGCGACAAGGGCCTCACAGGAGGCCCCAGAAGGAGAAAACGAGAGAGGGATAGCGGTATGGGTTCCTTTGAACCTGGCTTTTGGGTCATAACTCGGGTCTCTGGCCGGCGTTCGGGTCTCGGGCCGGCGAGGCGCAGCTGCTGGCAAGCATCCCGAGGATGGAAAACAGTCGAGAATTGACGACAACGCCAGGAAGCCACGAACCTCGAACCCGAAACTCCTCCTCTGAGGTTCGACGATGCCGAGCCTCGTAGGGGATGTGCTCGCCATTGGTGCACGCCTTGAAGTGGCTGGCGGCGTGCAGGAAGCCCGGGCGCTTCCGGCCCTCCAGCGCTGCCTCCGGGTCGTGGCACGACATGCTCGCGAGCGAATCGACGAACCTGAGGGGGGCCCAGGGACACACAGATGAATAGATTCAAGTCGGGGGACTATTTGTTGAGTAGTTTTGGGCCATCTTTTGAGCATTTTTGGGTATTTTTCATTTTTCGCCCAAAATCCCCCTCTGTAGGGGAACAGGCCCGATTTAAGAATAGATACGGATGCCAGGATTCCCCAGTTCCCCCCAATTTTCTGGAGCTTCGCCTTCCCCTCCACTTCCCACGTGTTCCCAGATCTCCCTGGGGGTTGGCGATTCCTTGCGCCCGTCTATGTTCCCCTCCCGAGAGCCTCCACGCCTCGCCGCCCGCGCGGGAGTTCGAGACCATGTAGTTCTCGAGCTGGACGTGGCTGACGCCGTGGTGGACGGCCGCGTAGGTGTACGCGAACATGTCGGCAAGGATGTCGCCTCTTGAGGAGGAGGAGGAGGAGGAGGAGGAGGAGGAGGAGGAGGAGGAGGAGGATGAGGAGGAGGAGGAGGAGGGACGAGGAGGAGGAGGAGGAGGAGGAGGAGGAGGAGGAGGAGGAGGAGGAGGAGGAGGGAGGAGGAGGAGGAGGAGGAGGGATCTATCCTGATCTCGCCTGGGAAGCCGATGTCCTGGGACACACGGGGGCGGTGGATACGAATGTACTTTGGAGGCAGGTCGATCCGATGGGAGGTGGTTGTGGGCAAATCCCCGCTTCAAGGCCTTTGTCCTGCGCGTACACGGGCTTCATCAGCTCCCACCACGTCGGCATGACCTGGGGCGCACAGAGACATACTTAGTCTTATTTGTCCTTCTTGGAGGCGCGCGTCCGACCTTGGAAACATATAGTAATACCCAACTTGTAGTACATCGTTTCCCGAGCGGCGTGACCAGAAAGCGCCCGCCACGACGCGTAGGCTAGAAGATGACTCGGAGCGCGCGTCCCCCCTGGGGGGGCGTAGTATTAGCATGTTGGGGTGGCGCTGATGACCTTCTTGAAGTCCGTGTTGTGGAGCATGTACGGCGGCCCCACGGATTGGTAGAGATGGCCCTGCTCGTGCGTGATGTTGGCACACGGGCTCGCCGCCCCGCCGGGACAGATCGTGCGCTGGTCGAACTTGCTCAGGAACGCCGAGCCGAGCCCGTACTTCTGCGCCACAGCCCAGCCTGGCTGCACCACGTCTGTCACCTGCTGGCTCAGCCTCTCCGGGTACCTCTCGGCGGCGAGCGAGGGTGGGAAGTGAGAAGAGGCGGGCCTTCGCACCTCAGACCCAGACCCCCTCGCGTTGCGAACAAATCACGACTGGAGTTTTTGCGCCAAGTTCGGCCCTCGCAGGGCCTCGGGACCGTGAACAAAACCACTCGGGAGGAGAAACCGGTCCCCGGGAAGGGGTGCAGACCTGTGGGGGTCGACGTTGTGCAAACATCAGGACGTCGGGGGCCTGGGGTTAGAGATATGCGGCACCGCGCCCCGAGGCACGAAAGGGGAGCTTCCTCAGGTCACCGCCGGCAGGCCCAGAGTCCCAGGAGAGGCCCCAAGAGGCCACCCAGAGACCCCCAAGAGGCCCCAAGACCCCGAACCAGCAGGCCAGAGGGTCCTGAGAGACCTCCCACGGAGTCCCCATCCCAGGCACGGTGGCGGAAAGACCCGAAAGCCACGAGATGCTGAAAAATCATTTCCGCCGCCGTCGCTCTCGTTTTCTGCTTCCAGCGGGGCCCTCATTGCCACGGCCTGATTTGCCTCGGAGCCCTGGCCTTGTGTACGCCACGACAATGGACACCCTAACAGTCCGATCATTGAATGTAAAGTGTGTCTAAAGTGTCGGAAAAAAAAAGCTTTAAGCATGTTTTAAACATGTTGTTTACATGTTTTCAACATGTTTAACACATGTTCTAGACATCTGGAAATTATTTGGCAGCACGCTTCCTCTCCATCGATCGACTTCCAAAGCCCTGACATCGCTCGGGCGGCCATGTGAGCGTTTTCTTATTCGGCGGTTCGACGTTGGGCGGAAGGGGGGGGGAGAGAGTGGGGGGGGGCGTCTGGCACCGGACCTCTGCTTCATGTGACTGCTTGAATACGAAAGCGCTCACCATTCCGCGTGCCTGCTTCGGTTTCGTGCATGTTTTTTCTTTTTCGGGCCAGACGGTAGAGGGAAACAATTGGTAGACACCCCCCTTCCCCCCAATGTTCAAAGTTGGCGGTGGGTCTGATGAGTTGCACCTCGACCGCAGTCTCCCCCGCGCGTGCCAACTTTGAGCTTGGGGGGCAGGGGGAGGCGTTGACGGATGAATGTGGCATGAGTGTTCGCTATTTTCTCCGAGGCCTGGCTGATCAAGGATGCTCCTCGATGGCCCTCGCCGCAGCAAAAATGCACCACTTCCGTGCGATGCCGAGCCGCGGGAAAGGTCTGCGGAGAGCAGCGGCACGGCGCGCCCACGCCGCGGCGGGGTGGGCGTTGGCTGTTCTGCCTCCGCGCGGGCCGCTCCGACTGGAGCGACCGCGGCTTTACCGCTCGATACCGACCGCCTCTGGGCCACTGGGGTTGTGGATGCCACGACAATGGACACCCCAACAGTCCTATCATTGATTTTACAATGTGTTAAGCATGTCGGACAATGCTCTAAACATGTGTTAAACATGTGTTATACATGGTTAAGACATGCGTAACACATGTTTCACACATGATTTAGACATCTGGAAACTATGTGGCAACATGCTTTCTCTCCATGGATCGTCCTCCACAAGCTGTACCGCTCGATACCGACCGCCTCTGGGCCACTGGGGCCATTCACCCTCATCGGGGGTTGCTACAGGTGCCCCCGGCCCAAGGCGCCCCCAGGCCTCCTCTCGATTCTGGAGCCCCGGGCGCCCTGTGGGCCTCGCGAGGGGTGCTCTGGAGGCCGTGGGGGCCTCCTTGGGCCAGGGGCACTTCTAGCAACACCCGACCTTACACGCACGCTCTGTGATCTGAAACGAAGCCAGGACGAGGAACAACAACGGGCGAGGAGAAATCGAGAATCTCTGAGATCCAGCGGTTCTGGAGGATGCATCGGGCGCCGCGGCCTTCTCAGAGCGTTCCTGAACGCTCTGAGAGCGTTCTGGAACGCTCTGGAACGGACTTATCCTCGTCCCAGCCCCGCCGTTCGAGGATCGCCGCCGCGACGACACGACACGAACCCAGACATGCGATGTCCTGATCTTCCAGTGCGCGATCCCAGGAAGTCCCGACCCGTTCCCCAGGGCCGGCTGTTCATCCGGAGCCGTGTTTTGACAGTCCCGCGGCCCGGCGAGGGACGCCAGGCGCCGAAAACCACGAAACAACCCAGTCCTGTGTTATTCAAGACGATGCATGTCTGGGGCAAAGATCGTATCGGTATTTGCGAATTCCCCCGGCACCCGTGGATGATCTCAAACGGGCCATCGGCAGCGTGCTCGGCACGCTGCGTCAGCGGCTGGAGAAAGAACTCGTCAGGGTCCAGGATCGCGACGACACGCTCGGTGACGTCGTCGCCCGTGGTGTTAAGCCAGTGCTCGAATGACCACGGCTTGTTGAACCACGGAAACTCTGCAGCCTCCAGGCAGTGCCAGACATGCAGCGTCCTGAAAATTCAGGACGGATTTTGTTTGAAATTTTGGCCTAGGGGAGCCCGTAACAGGCCCCGAGACCGTCAACAAGACGACTCGGGATGAAAAACTGGCCATGGGAAAAGGGTCGGGACTTGCGGGGATCGATTATTGAAGAAAAAGTCAGGACGTCGCACGTCTGGAATGCAAAGGGGAGGGTGACCACGATGGGGGCCCATGTCATCGAGGATGTGCAGTTTTCTCGAGGAAGTGGGGCCCCAGAACACGAGTTACACTCCAGCCAAACAACCCCCAAAACGTCCCAAATCCTCCTCGAGCATTGATCCTGGAGCCTCGATCCTCAGAAGAAAGTGGCGACCTCCGTGACCCCCCTTGGCCCAAACACTGCCCGAAGCCTCGGGGATCGCGGGCGCAACGTGCACGTTGAGGGCCGGGTAGGTGGACTTCAGCAGGTCGTCGTGATCGATCAGCTTGTCGCCAGCGCCGGGCTGGTGCGTGCTGACCTTCTCGCCGCCCTCATGGGAGGACGTGAAGAGCTGAGCACGCGCGGCGATCCTGGCCAGGCTCGTCCCAAGCCCAGGAGGGGCCCGGCAAGGATCGGTGCACGTGCACAGCTCTCCTCGCCAGGCCTCGATGAGCTTGTCGCACCCGACCACGATGCGGGTCATCCTCCCGCACTGGCCCTGGTGGTACGCCGAGTTGAGCAGCACCTCCGCCTGCCAGTGCTGGAAGGCGTTGCACCCCGTCGAGAACACGACGTGCATGTCCTCGTCCGCGGGCGTGCAGTCCCTCGCGTGCGTGCGGCGCATGGCGTGCGCGGGCGCCGTGGCGGCGAGGCGACGGGGCGGGGGCGCGACGAGGCCGCCCGCCGCGGGCAGCGCCGCGAGCAGGCATGCCTGCCTCGCCATGGCCCGGGCGCCACGGGGCCTCGCGCCGGGTACGAAGAGTACGTCCTGGTGTCAGGGAGCCACGCGGGAGCCGCGGCTGCGGAACGGGAGGCAGGGCGTGGGGAACCGACCCCTACACTTGGCGGCGCGCACAAGGGGGGTGGGGGGAGGGGGGGGGCTTCTTAGAAGCAGGCTGCTTCTCAGAAGGCGCCGGCCTTACATCTATAGATAAGGCCCGCGCCTTCTAAGAAGGAGGGGTGCTTCTAAGAAGCCCCCCCCCCTCCCCCCACCCCCCTTCTGCGCGTGGCTGGTATACACCGACGCCATTTCCGGCCCCACCGAAGCTTGCCCAGGAAAGCGGACCCTGGTGTGTACGGGATCCTGGCGTATACATCTTCCCTTGCTTCCCCTGAAAGCGGAGACAGGAAATATACACCACACACCACCCCGACGTCGCTCCCGGCCCTCAAAAAGTCCTTTGGATCGAAAAACGGCCCGCCACTGGTCATGTAGATGTTCCAGCTTGGGGGGGGAGCCGAAAAGCGCCGGTTTACCACGCCCCTCCTGGGTTCGCAGACTTCCTGGGGGGCCGTGGGACACGTACGAACACATGAAACTCGCGCCCCCGAGGCCATCAGCCCTCGTAAATTACACAATAATCGCGACGCAAGATTCGCGTCCCCGAGGCCATAAACCCTGGTTACTCATGCAAGATTCGCGTCCGAGGGAGAGCCGCGAGGAGGAAGGACCAGTCCAGCCCCAGGCCCTCCTCCGCCTGCCGGGTCCGCGTGCTCTCCTCCGTCGCGCCGCTCGCTCCCCCCCCGCCTCCTCGCAGCTCCCGCCTCCTCTCCTCGCCGCTGCTGCGGCGCTGCCTGCCGCGTGCTGCTGGGCCTCCTCCTCCTCCTCCTCCTCATCCTCCTCCTCCTCCTCCTCCTCCTCCTCCTCCTCCTCCTCCTCCTCCTCCTCCTCCTCCTCCTCCTCCCCCCCGGACCTCTCCTGGGGTGCGCTCTGACCAGAATTTCGAAGCGAATCCAGCGGTGGCGACGGGGGCCTCCGAGGAGGCCTAAAAAGGGTAAAACGGGCGAGGAGGTTGAGGTATGGGTACCTTTGAATCTGGTTTTTGGGTCATAACTCGGGTCCCTGGCCGGCGTTCGGGACGACCCGGACACCCCCGGAACGCCCGCGGCGAGGCGCAGCTGCTGGCAAGCATCCCGAGGCTGGAAAACCGTCGAGAATTGACGGCAACGCCCGGAAGCCTCGAACCTCGAACCCGAAGATCCCCCTTCTGAGGTTCGACGATGCCGAGCCAGGACCTCTTCCTCCTTTGACCGCTCCTGCTCCTGCGGGTGCTGCTGAGGCTGCTGCCGCTGCGCGACCGCCCACGGACCGAGCGCGCCCCACTGGGGTCCCTCCGCCTGCGGCCTCTCGCGCATGCGTCCACGCGTCAACGTCGGCACGCCCCCCACGCGGACCGTGACCGACGGGGGGCTGCAGCTCTACAGCTGTGTGGATGCCACGACAGTGGACACCCTAACAGTCCTACCATTGAATTTAACATGTGTTCAAAGTGCCAGGAACATGTTCTAACCATGTTTTAAAACATGATGGTCCCTGTGTAAACCATGTGTAGCACATGTTTCAGGCATTGTTCTAACCATATTTTAAACCTGGTCTCTTCCCTGCTTAAGCCATGTGTAGCACATGTTTCAGGCATCTGGAAATCATTTGGCAACATGCTTCCTCTCCATGAATCGGCTTCCACAACCACAGCTCCGCCATAGGGTGCGCACTCGGGCGGCCGAAACTCACAAAGCGGCCTGCTGTTGGCTGCGCCGCGTGCTCTCGGCGGACATGAACAAAAAACTGCCTGGCAGTGCTTGCGCCACAGGTTGCCCACTCGGCGGCCGAAGATACCAAGGCATGCAGTGAGGGAGACCATGAACAGGTCGCGCAAACGGCGCCTCAGAATCAAACGGCAGGTCATTAGCTGCGAGAGGGCGCGCACTCGGCAGCCAGACGAACGGCAGCCTGACGCTGGGTGCGCCATGGCTCGAGCACCCGGCGCCCCAAACAAAACGGCCCCCCACCTGTCGCGACCAGTCAGCCACTCCACCTCGCAAAAGACAAAAAAAAAAGCGATAATAAAAAAAACGGGCTGCGCCTCCTGCAGAAACTGCCCCGAGGCGATCGCTCCGTGCCGCTGGAGTCCGGGCCGCCTGCTCGCGAGCCTCTCTCTCCCTCCCCCGGGCCTCCCGCCCCTGCGGAGCAGAGAACCTCGAGGCGGATATCCCTCCGTGCAAGCGCGAAGAGGCCCCAGAGGGCTGGCCGAAGGCGAAAAGACGCCCAAAACGACCTCGATCCTCGATCTCCGAGCGAGGCGGGCGAAGGACCAGGCTCTCCGAGGGGCATCCGAGGCCACCACGGGGCGGAGCCCCCCGCCGCTCCCCCCCCCCCCCTGGGGGCAACCAGGCCGACGACGGCGCCGCCGCCGACGGCGGCCGGCGACGACGGCGTGGACGACGGCGGTGGCGACGACGGCGGTGGCGACGACGGCGGCGCCATCGAGGCCAGCGGCGCCGAAGGCGGTGGCGACGGCGACCTCGACCCTCGATGTTCTTCGGCTACACATAAGAGTGAACCTGGGCAAGAGTGACCCCTGGTGCGCGGCTCATTGGGGGCCGCGGGGGGACCAAACACAAGCGCGCAAGACGCTACTATCGCATCGCGTTCGGCGATCGGGGGAACCCCAACGGGCCCGCACCAAAGGTCACTCCGGCGAAAGATCACTCTTAGGTGTAGTCGATTCTTCTGGAAGACCCGGCGAGTCTTCGGTCGAGCTTTCGGGAGAGGTCCCCAGAGGCCAGAGGACTGGCGGAATACGAAGACGACCAAAAACCTCGATCCTCGATCTTCTTCCGGAGGACCCCACGAGTCTCTGGGCGAGCTCTCGGGGGAGGTCCCCAGAGGCCAGAGGACTGGCGGAATACGAAGACGCCCGAGAACCTCGACCCTCGATCTTCTTCCGGAGGACCCCGCGAGCCTCCAGCCTAGCTCTCGGGAGAGGTCCCCAGAGGTCCTCAAAACCCTCCACGTCTCCGGGTCTCCAGGGGCCCAGGCCGAAAACACACGGACGAGAGCGTCCGTACACCTCGCTCCTCGATCCGACGTCGCGTGAAAATACGTCATCGTGAGACTAATGGCCAGAGACCTCGACCCTGGCTGTCCGTGGCATGCAACGAGCCGGGTCTATCCGTGAGGGTCCCCAGAACCAAAGCATCGGAAATAAACGCGGCGTGCAACAAATTATCCCGGCAAAGCAACCTAACAGCGATGTGTAGGAGCATATCTGGCAGCATTCCTCTTAAGATTCAGATGAGAATCCAGTTGTAGAATTCTGCTGTTCTCGCAGTCGTAGTCGCATTCGCGATGACAGTCGCAGTGGCAACGGCAGTCGCAGTCACAGCCTCAGCATCAGCCTGCCTCAGCCTCAGCCTCAGCCTGTCTCAGCCTCAGCCTGTCTCAGCCTCAGCCTGCCTCAGCCTCAGCCTCAGCCTGCTTCAACCTCAGCATCAGTCTGCCTTCAGCCTCGGCCTCAGCCTCAGCCTGCCTCAGCCTCACCCTGCATCAGCCTCAGCCTCAGCCTCAGCCTCAGCCTCAGCCTGCCTCAGCCTGCCTCAGCCTCAGCCTGCCTCAGCCTCAGCCTCAGCCTGCCTCTGCCTCAGCCTCAGCCTGCTTCAGCCTCAGCCTCAGTCTGCCGTCGGCCTCGGCCTCAGCCTGCCTCAGCCTGCATCAGCCTCAGCCTCAGCCTCAGCCTGCCTCAGCATCAGCCTGCCTCAGCCTCAGCCTCAGCCTCAGCCTGCCTCAGCCTCAGCCTCAGCCTGCTTCAGCCTCAGCCTCAGCCTGCCTGCCTCAGCCTCAGCCTGCCTCAGCCTCAGCCTGCATCAGCCTCAGCCTCAGCCTCAGCCTGCCTCAGCATCAGCCTGCCTCAGCCTCAGCCTCAGCCTGCCTCAGCCTCAGCCTCAGCCTGCTTCAGCCTCAGCCTCAGTCTGCCTTCAGCCTCGGCCTCAGCCTCAGCCTGCCTCAGCCTCAGCCTGCATCAGCCTCAGCCTCAGCCTCAGCCTGCCTCAGCATCAGCCTGCCTCAGCCTCAGCCTCAGCCTGCCTCAGCCTCAGCCTCAGCCTGCTTCAGCCTCAGCCTCAGCCTCTCTGCCTCGGCCTCGGCCTCAGCCTCAGCCTGCCTCAGCCTCAGCCTGCATCAGCCTCAGCCTCAGCCTCAGCCTGCCTCAGCATCAGCCTGCTCAGCCTCAGCCTCAGCCTGCCTCAGCCTCAGCCTCAGCCTGCTTCAGCCTCAGCCTCAGTCTGCCTTCAGCCTCGGCCTCAGCCTCAGCCTGCCTCAGCCTCAGCCTGCATCAGCCTCAGCCTCAGCCTCAGCCTGCCTCAGCATCAGCCTGCCTCAGCCTCAGCCTCAGCCTGCCTCAGCCTCAGCCTGCTTCAGCCTCAGCCTCAGCCTCAGCCTCAGCCTCAGCCTCAGCCTCAGCCTCAGCCTCAGCCTCAGCCTCAGCCTCAGCCTCAGCCTCAGCCTCAGCCTCAGCCTCAGCCTCAGCCTCAGCCTCAGCCTCAGCCTGCCTCAGCCTCAGCCTGCCTCAGCCTCAGCCTCAGCCTGCTTCAGCCTCAGCCTCAGTCTGCCTTCAGCCTCGGCCTCAGCCTCAGCCTGCCTCAGCCTCAGCCTGCATCAGCCTCAGCCTCAGCCTCAGCCTGCTCAGCATCAGCCTGCCTCAGCCTCAGCCTCAGCCTGCCTCAGCCTCAGCCTCAGCCTCAGCCTGCTTCAGCCTCAGCCTCAGTCTGCCTTCAGCATCGGCCTCAGCCTCAGCCTCAGCCTGCCTCAGCCTCAGCCTGCATCAGCATCAGCCTGCCTCAGCCTCAGCCTCAGCCTGCCTCAGCCTCAGCCTCAGCATGCTTCAACCTCAGCCTCAGTCTGCCTTCAGCCTCGGCCCCAGCCTCAGCCTGCCTCAGCCTCAGCCTGCCTCAGCCTCAGCATCAGCCTGCCTCATTATTCAAAATGTGGCCCGGGAATGGAGTTCTGGGAACTCGAAGAGCACGAAGTGGCCTACAGTTGGCTCCGGGCATTCAAGATGTGGCCCAGGAATGGAGTTCTGGGACCTCGAAGACCACGAAGTGTGTAACTGTTTGCTTATAATGACTTCCACGGATTCTCCCCGGCACCCGTCCGGCATCTGCCCAGACCCCCCTGAGGAGACAAGATGCTTTCTTTTGAGACCATTAGAAACCTATCAGTCTTCGCTGTTAGGTAAAAAAACTGCGACGTACAGATCTCGGGTTTCCCTGATCCTCGATCCCCCTCGCGCGGGAAGGGAGCAGGAGGAGCAGGAGGAGGGAGGAGAAAACGAGGAGGAGGAGGAGGAGGAGGAGGAGGAGGAAGAGGAGGAGGGAGGAGGAGGAGGAGGAGGAGGAGGAGGAGGAGAGGATGAGCGGGGAAGAGGATGAGCGAGGACGAATACGAGTACGAGTACGAGTAGGAAAGGAGGAGGAGGAGGAGGAGGAGGAGGCGGAGGAGGAGGAGGAGGAGAAGCAGCAGGAGGGAGATGAGCAAGAGGGCGAGGTTGAGGAGGAGGGAGAGGAAGAGGAAGAGAAGGGCAGGAGGCCGAGGAAGAGGACGAGGAGGAGGAGGAGGACGCGGAGGGGGGAGGCAGAGGGGCAGGAGGAAGGGGGGGGAGCAGGAGGAGGAAGAAGAGGAGGGCAGGAGGAGGGAGAGGGCGAACGAAGAACCTCCTCGATCCCCGTCCACACCCCGCCAGCCGAGGGGGAACGTTGGTGACGGGGGGAGCCGGCCCAGGGGAGGAAACGTCGTCCTGGAATCGGCGAGACATCGCCGACAGATGTGCCAGGGGCCCCAAGGGCGGATCCGCCCGCTCCTGGGCGGGGGGGGCGCCATCGGACCCCACGCCGGCCAGGAACCGGGCGAGCGGGGGTCGACGCATCCCCCCGAGAGCAGAACTTGTCCCCCCCTCGGGGATGCACAGACCTCCCTTTAGTAAAACGGGGTCTCGTGAAAACGACCTCGGGCCCAAACCTGGCGGGCGCAAGCCTGGAAAACGACGGCCACGGCGCCCTCTCGAGAACCGAAAACGGACAAGTCACTAATCGACGCGTCACTGTTGGGGGTTCTGTCCGAGAGAGCTCTCCGAACCGTCCTGTAAGGGAACGGCGCCCAGGCACCGCGAGAACGGCGCCCGTGCACCGCACCATAGAGGAGGAGGAGGAGGAGGAGAGGAGGAGGAGGAGGAGGAGGAGGAGGAGGAGGAGGAGGAGGAGGAGGAGGAGGAGGAGAACTTGTCTCCCCCCTGACGCTGCCCCTTGCTCTTCGGGCCCGGCGCGGGTCTCCGGCGCCGCCCGGGGGCGCTGCGGGCACCCCCGGCGGCAACGCTCTCTCGGCGGGGCGCGGCTGCGGAAGAGGGCACCCCGAGACCGGAGAGCGCCGGCGAGGGCCGGCGGGCACCGCCGAGGAGAGCCGCTGGCGAGAACCGGGGGCATCCCCACGGAGTCCAGCCCCGCTGAGCTGGTCCAAGTCCCTACAGGGCAGTTTGTCATACATCGGATTTTAAAACATATAGGTGATGAAATTATGAATAAATGTATGCATGAACTCATCGTTGTTTGCAAAGCTAACTCCCTGTATGTTTAATACATGATCCGCACGCGGAGCATGTATTAAAACCGGCACTGTAAGATTGCTACGGTGGGGGCATTTGTTTCTCTCTTCGAGGGCAAAATATGCCCGTGTCAAAAGCAATTCGTGCAATTCTGCGCTGCACACGCACGGCAGCCGCTGCTGCGGCCGCTCTGGACAGGCGGGCCGCCGCCCCGCGCCTCTGCGGCCGAGGCGAAGCCGTGGGACGGTGGGGACATTGGGTAAGGAACCCTTAGATGAGGAATCCAGGGTCTGGAAGCCAGAGGAAGGTCAATCATGGATCGGCCATGGACACCACCGCCGCCCTCATTGGATAAGGAATTCTCCAGGGTCTGGCGTCTCCTGGGACTATTCCTTAACAAACGCCTCCACCGTAAGCTTAGGTCGGGCATGTCTTCCTACAGGCAGATTTCGGAAGAAAAATGAAAAACAGAGCCAAAAACAGATATGCAAAATAGCCTAAATTGTCCAAACATCGTCCCAGGACTATGTTTAACTATGTTTGGAGATTCTTCATGTAGAGAGATATGCCCGACTTGACGAAGCCCAAAGACGACGACAGCCTGGGGGGTACGCCCTCGGAAGCTCTGGGAGTCCTCATGGTCGGCATCGAGATAAGGTGGTGCCAGCCATCTGTTTCAAGCCAGCTGGCACAGAGGAGCGGAGGCGGTCAGGCGACGGTCGGGCTAAAATATGCCCACCATACAGGCCTCGCAAAGAAACACTTGACGTATCCATTCAGCATCCCCCCCCCCCCGCCCCCGTGCCAAACTTGCTCTTGGAGGGGCCGCTGCCGCACCAGGGGCTTCGATGCAACATCGGTCAGGGGGGACGCCGATGCAAGAAGATGGCCACGCGGCCAGGCCGTCCCAGAGAGTCTCCGATGCGACCCCGAAGTGTTCCCTGAAACCCATGCCCACTTTCGTCAAGTTGTTCTTCAAGCCTGTTGTGAGGATGCGGATCTGTCTCAAGAGAGCGTTTCGTCTTGATCGCGGTAGCGGCCGCTACCAGCCCCGGCCGGCCCCCCTTCCCCCCCACCACGTAACGTGACGATTCGCACTGACGTCCGAGCTGTCTGTGATTATCCCTAGGCATTCCCAAATGGCACCAGCGCGAAGCGTGACGCTTCCGCCCTCCCACTCACCTCCCCCCGCCACCCCGGGTAACGCCTGGTGTCGCCCAGGAATTACAGGCGGGCTGCTGAGATCAGGGACGCTAAATGAAGAACGAAGCCTGGGAGGAGGAGGAGGAGGAGGAGGAGGAGGAGGAGGAGGAGGAGGGAGAGGGGAAGGGGAAAGGGAAGGAGGAGGAGGAGGAGGAGGAGGAGGAGGAGGAGGAGGAAGGGCGAAGCCCCTTTTCTGCTCCAAACGAGCCCGGGTGCACGAGGAGGGCTGGGGGAGCAGCCGTGGAAGGACCTCTGGAACAGCGAGCCCCCATGCGCACACACAGCGGTGCTTTCTTCAGCGTCTTGACTGTACAACAGCGCTCCCCAGGCTGATATGCCCCCCCCCTGACGTTACGATGCTCCAACCAGCTTTAGCCGTGATCACCAGAAAGAATTCTGAACACCGAGAACATACAGAAACGGGAGGGACTTCACGTACCAGGCCCCAGGAGGCGATACTCAGTCGACACTGTTTCGATGCTTGTCTGGGTGCTGGAACTTATCTCTGGGATGTGATCCTCAAGCACGATGGGAACCACGTGATCCTGACGTTGCCCCTGACCCCCCGCGCACGCCTCCGCGAATGCCTCCTCGCCACCGTGCGCGGGCGCGCCCCCGCCCGCCGCGGCCGCGGCGCCGTCGGCCCCGTCCGCGGCGCGGTCGCGCAGGGCCACCTCCTCCTGCACGGCGTAGTACCCGTCCTCCTGGGCCGCTGCGGGAGCCCTCGGCCAAACCCACTCTGCCGAGGCTTCGGGCTGCGCGCAAGACGGCCCCCCCCGGGGGCGGGGGGGCCCCGGGCGGTGTGGTGACCACACCGCGTGGTGAGCCAGAGGGGATTCGGATGAACGCGCGGTTTTGGGACCCAGGTCGTTCTCCGAGGACGTCTCGGGCGACTGGGGCCTCCAGGGTTCCAAAACCGTGCGGTGACGGACGGCGCGGTGAGGTCGATGGGGATTGCGAATTCACCACGCGGTCCGTCACTACGCGGCGTTGGGACCCCGAAAGGTAATCCCAGCCGGCCTCAAGGCGCCCCCCGAGTAGCCCAGGGCGGTCTCAACCCACCGGCGCCGCCTCCAGCAGCGGCACCCTTGGGGCGCTCCGCGCCCGACGGTTGGGGTGTTGAGACAGCCCCGGGCTACTCGGGGGGCCTATTGAGGCCAGCTGGGACCGCCTTACCAGCCCAGAGGCTCGAGGCTCTGACTGTTTCCATCCCAAAGGTCTTTCCTCGCTTTCGGCCTCCTGGGCCCGCTGTCCGGTCCCGGGGCCGCCAGACATGGGCCCGGGGCGCAAGATCAGGGAAGGGGTCGGGACCTCTGGGGCCGCGGAGTGGGAAAAAGCACATCTGCGGGTAAGGTGGTCCCAGCTGGCCGAAATTGAGGAAAGACGCTGGGATTGAAAAAGTCAGATCCTCGAGCCTCTGGGCTGATGACCGGGAACACCGCCTTCCGCCGAGCTTCAGCCAGCTTGCGCCAGCGGAGGCGCCCTCGTTCCAGCACCGCTGGCGCCCGCCCGATGTGTATTTTTTGTGCCGACCCGCGGCCCAAGAGATCCCGACTGACCACGTCCCCGGAGTTAGGTCGGGCCTGTTCCCCTGCAGGCGGATTCTGGACGACGAATAAAAAATAGTCAAAAGATGGCCAGCAAATGCTCAAACAAATAGTCAAACAATCGTGCCGGACTGTTGTTGGTCTATGTTCGAATGTTCCGAATGTTTGAATGTTGGTATATGTTGGTCGATTGTTGCTCCGGCGACTATGGAATTGTCCTCCTGTAGAGGGACACGCCCGACTGAAGCCCAGAGGCAGCTCTGCGCTCTGCGCCTCGCACGTATTTTTGGGTGGCCCCGTGCCCAATGACATGCCGTGGGATGGCGCCTGGGCTGCACATGAGGCACATCGTCGGATCCTCCCACGCGAACACCTCGTGGGAGCCTCCCGGGTCATCTTGCCGGCTCTTGCGAATCGCCGTGGCCCGACGCTCATCGACACTTATCGACGCGAACCGACGCCAGTCGATACTAGATCGGCGCTTTCTCACCGACGACCAGACGCTAGCACACGCCAACGAACTCTAGAAACGGAATTCGGGTGAGAATGATGTCGTGATGAGATTGGCTCAGGATACGTTCCAGGATTTCCAGAATACAGCGGCTCTCGTTTTTGCAGCCCGCGTGGAGGGATCGGAATAGTTGAGTATCCTGGAAACCTTGGAAGCATTGAAACGTATCGTTATCATGACCTTGATACGGCGAGGGCATTGGATAAGGAACCATTGTATAAGGAATCCAGGGTCTGGAGGCCGGTGGAACTCCCATCGTGGACTGGCCATGGATATCACCGACGACCTCATCAGATGAGGAATCCTCCAGGGTCTGCAGCCCCCATGGCACACTCCTTCACTAACGACCCCCCCCGTACCAGTAACCAGCCTCGGATGTCATCCCTGTCTCTAGGCTCGACGCGCCCAGAGCGACGACAACAGCGGGGAGGTGGAAACCTGAGGGAATCCTTGAGATCGGCACCGAGACGACGAGACGATGCCCATCGTAGGGACACGGCAGGTCCGCGTCGTGTCGACCCCGGCGCTGGTTCCCGACGCCGCGGGGATCCCTCTCGCCCTCTTGAATGATCGGCCGATCCCGAAACGTCGGGATCCTTCAGCGTCGACCGCTTCTGGGCCGCCGGCAGCGTTCCGCGCGGAACGCCCGAAGACGGGGTCGTCGCCGGTCGACGCGACGCGAATCTGCCGTGGGGCTGCGCGCCAGGCCTGCAGAAACGAGCGCGGGGGCAGAGGCGCCAGCCGCCCCCTCACGACGGGCACCCCCCCTGCGTGCGAGGCCCTCTCGTGGGCGCGCCGGCTCCGGGTTGCTCCGTCGGCCCCCTCCCCACGGCCGCTCCGCCCGACGGCCCGTTCCAGCGCCCCCACGCGCGCCGACCCCAACCCCTCGGGCGCGCCCCTCCTCCTCCTCCTCCTCCTCCCTCCCCCTCCCTTCCTCCCCTCCTCCTCCTCCTCCTCCTCCTCCTCCTCCTCCTCCTCCTCCCTCCTCCTCCTCCTCCTCCTCCTCCTCCTCCCCCTCCTCCTCCTCCCGGGGGAACCCGTCGAGACCTCGAGGGGCCCACGGCGCGGCACAGAGTCACGACGCGCTGGGGCGTGGCCTGGGTCCCTCGCTCGTCCGTCGCGCGGACCGCGGCGAACAGCTCGAGGCCTCTGCACGCATCCCGGGCCTCCGCGGCGCCTCCCCGGGCGCACCCCGCCCTCGCCAGGACGCCCCTTCCCCGTGCACTGCTCGGCGTCGTGCGTGCCTTGTTTGGCCAGCCGATCAGGGCTGCTTCTCGACAGTACTCGCCAAGAGATAGAGTGCGCACGTGCTCGCCCCCGCTCTCCCGGAGCCCCGACGTCACGATTGCTTCCCGGCGTCGGCCCCCACAAAGATCTGGTCCCGTTCCCCAGGACCAGCTCTTCATCCTGAGTTTTTGTTGTTGGCAGTCCCGAGGCCCCGTAAGGGCTCCTGGAGGCCGAAAATAGCGAAAAGCCTCCCGTCGCGATTCCTTCACGACGCGAGAGGGTCTGGGCTTCCGCCGCGCGGACAGTGACAAGCTCTCGAGGTCTCTGCCCGCTCCCGGGGCCGCCGCTCGGAGCCTCCCCGGGGCGCCCGTTTCTCGCGGCCACGGCCGGGCGCAGCTCTCAAGAGAACGGGGCCTCGCTTCTCCCCCTTCGGTCGGGAGGGGTGGGCAGAGGCATGGAGTCTCAGGAGGCAACTACTGGGAGGTCTGCGTCGGCAGGATGAAGGAGGATTAAGCCACATTGCAGGGGGCTGCTACACCAGATTAGGCCGCGGAGTAAGCAGGATTGAACCAAATTCAGCGGGATGGCGTTGGATTAATCGGGACTAAGCCGAATTCAACGGGATGAAGACTGATTAAGCTGGATTTCGGACCAGGGCAAAACACGAATTTCCCCCCCCAGGAATTGCATCCGAAAATTTCGTCGGCGGCGCGCAATGGGGGGGGTAAGTGGGAGGGGGGAAGGCTTCTTGGAAGGAGGCTGCTTCTCAGAAGGCCCGCGCCTTCTGAGACGCAGCCTGTTTGTAAGAAGCCTTCCCCCCTCTCCCTGCCCCCTTTGCGCGTGGCCGATGATTGGGCTTCCGCCCACCTCCCGATGAAGGAGGAGGGGAAACCACTCGACCATTGAAGTAGGAAGGCGCCTAGAGTAGATCTGGAATCCAGAAATACCTACTTCCAACGACCGGCTTGTGAGCGTTGTTGTATTCAGCGCTCCGACATTGGGCGGAAGGGTGGGGGGGGGGATGAGGGGGATCTGGCTCCGGACCTCTGCTCAGCGCGGCTGTTTGGAACCGTGCGTCCCATGGGGGAGGGGCTCCACCGGCTCGAAACAGGCGCCAGAAACAGCCAAGATCTACTCCAGGGGACGGCGCCGATCGGCAAAACAATGAATAAGAAAACGGTCACCTTGCGATGGGGTGGCGATACAGGGGTGGGAGAAAGGTGCACTTGTCCGGCCCTCGAGGCCCCCTTTTCGGCCCCCAAGGGTTCCCTTAGGGGCCCTCATGGGCACCTTTTCTGCAGCCCTCGCCGCCCCCCTCTTTGATCGCAAAGTCACGACGGCGATTGTCCCTGAGGTCGGATCTCTGGAGGTCGTTTCGAGCCCCGTGGCCGTTGTAAGATGCCCCTTGTCAGGAGAAAGCTTCGGAGCCCACGTCGTAACAAAACACCACGTCGGAGGCATTGAATCGTTTGGTGGGCCCGCCTCATCGACAATCTGGACCGGAGCTTCTACTGCCTAGAGACGGGGTCGGGAACCCAAGCCGTGCCCTTCTCGCGGCGTTGCGGTCTTTGTTCACAGCGTCGGATGTCGGGGGCGATTCCCCTGATTGCACGGATCCTGGCCAATCCCATCCTGAGCCCAGGATCATAATGGATTCGACCTCCCGGGACCACGGGGGGCGCCTCTACCGCTCCCCGGCCCAAGGTGGGCCCAGCCACGCCAGCGCAACTAACAGCACGCGGCAGGGTGGCTTCGCTGCCGCCCGCCGTCCTGGGTGACGCGCATGTCCACCAGGCTCACGCGGTCCAGCCAGCCGCCGCCGAAGCAAATGGTCTCCTTCGCCCCGGAGAGCGCCGCTGCCGCCCGGGCGATGGCCTTCTTGGCCGCCTGCGGCGAGGCCGGGGCCGCCGCTCCCTGCCTCCGCCCGCGCAGATGAGCCACTGCATGCGAGTCGAGTGCGCACGGGACGCGCCCAGGGCGAAGGGCACCACCGCTGTGGAGGGAAGCCGCGAGGACGCGGGCAGCGAAGCTGCGGCACAACACGTAAGCACGGACCCTCTGGACGTCCCCGGCCAGCCGGGGTCTCCGGAGGCCGTTGTATGTAGATCCAGGCAAGTTCACTCGCCTGGTTGTGAAGAAAACCCCGGAGGCATCGCGCGGCAACTTGAGGCCCAGTGGAGGTCGGGCCCACGCTGGATTTCCGTCGGTTTCACGTCGGGTTGCGTCGGATTTGCGTCGGACTCACGTCGGAACAACGTCGGCCTTACGTCGGACCATCGCTGCACGAGCGCCTTTCCACATCTGATGGGGCGGACGTGCAGACTAAATCATACACCAACTGGGCGCCGCACGAGGCCTCCAGGATGTTCCGCATGGACGTGGCAGTTCCATCCCCGCCCCTCTCGCCGCCAATCTCTAACAGCGCTGGACAAAAAGGCGTGCAAGTGTTTCCCGGCTTCCGTGAAATCCCAGTTTCTCTTCGAACCTCGCCACGCCCTCACCCCTCTCCGTGCAAATCAACGTGCTGGAATCTGAAGAAAAGCGTCCTCCCGCATCGCCCGCTGCAGCCCTCGTGGCAGGCCGCTTCGTCCAAAGAGTTGGGAGTATTGAAAGCAAACGCATCATGCACACACTTTTTTTTTGATTCGCGGGTCGAGAGCGCACCTCTTCTGGTCGAAGCTAAGCGGGCCGCGCGAAGCTTGAAAGGCGTCCTGCACACACATACACACACACTGGCCCGTGGAACCCGGAGAACCTCCGAGCAACGGGCAACGTAACATCAGTAGGCACCAACCTTTGACCACGTAAGGACCTCTCAGGCAAGCCCACTTGGGGAAAAGCGTCCTCCCACAGCGCCCGCTGCGGGTCTCTTCGCAGGCCGCCTCGTCCAAAGGTCTGGGAGCATTGATCGGGTCGGGCGAAAGGGGGGGATAGCAAAGGGGGGGTTTGAGAATCAGCTCACGTAGCTGATTTTCCCGGCGCCTCTCGGCGCCGGAGGCGGCCATGTATCGAGGAATGGGCCCCTCGGTGAGGCCGAAACCAGCGGCATGCAGCAAATTTCGTAACCCCCTCTTTCCCAATCCCCCCCTTTCGCCCGGCCCGAATTGAGAGCGAGCGCGTCCTGCACACGCACGCACGCAGCGGCCCGCGGCAGCGGAGCCACACCGCCGTGAGAGGAAGGAAAGGTGCTCCTGCAGGCGAGTCTCGGAAGACAGACATTCTGGAAGAGTTCCTCCTGTCGAGGGACATGCCCGACTGGACACAGGCCTGCGACAGCGGAGCCACATCTCCGTGGGAGGAATTGGCGGCGCGCACAAGGGGGTGGGGGGAGGGGGGAGGCTTCTTAGAAGCAGGCTGCCTTATAGAGGCGCCACCTGACATCTATAGATAAGGCCCGCGCCTTCTACGAAGCAGGGGGGTGCTTCTAAGAAGCCCCCCCCCCTCCCCCCCCCTCTGCACGTGGCTGAAGGAAGGCAAAGTGTGATCTTATGGCCCTCGCTGGCCTGGGAGGCCTTCTTGCCCTGCTTGCCGCGGCCGGCCGCGGTCATCTTGAACAGCGTCACGTGGGGCGCGAACGCCCTCGGCGGCCGGGCTTTTCATCGTGAGTCGTTCTTCGACGGTGCTGGGGGCCCGGCGAAGGCCTCTAGAGGCCGGAACTGGCGACGATCCTGCCTCTTGAGATTTTCAAGACGCTGGATCTCCGGGCTGGAGTCTGGACCTCTGGGGCTCGACGCTGCGAGCAAGAGCACGACGCCCAGAATTGAGCACGGACCCGGCATTCCTATAGGCCAACCACGACGTGCTCTTAGAGCCCGAGAAGGTTCTGAGAACGAACACAATGCTCCAAAACGGAAGCCCGATGAGCTAGAATAAGATAGTCTCGGCCAGCAATGCTCTGAGAACACTGCGTGCAGATCACACAAGGTGACTGGAACATGGTTAGGTGGGCCTCCTAGGCAAGCCGGGACGCTTCGCCGCCGCTTCAAGGTCGTGGGCCGAAGGTCGCCTGGAGCTGTCCGGCAGGCCCGCTCGGCCGCGGGCCTGCTCGCCGGGTCCGCCCTGCGCCGCGGCCCGCGCCTCGCCGCCCTGCCCCTCCGCACCCTCGCCCTCGCCGCTGTCCTCGTCGGCCGGGGCGCCCTCGTCGTCCTCCTCGATGGCCACCGCGACGACGACGACGACGACGACGACGACGACGACGACGACGACGAAGACGACGACGACGACGGCGGCGGCGGCGGCGGCGGCGGCGGCGGCGGCGGCGGTCCTCCGCGGCCTCCGCGTCCTCCTCAGCGGCGAGCGCACGAGACGGGGGGCGAGGGGGGCGCGGCACTGCCGGGAGGGAAGGGTGCGGGGGCGGACGGACCCGCTGAGGGCGAGGGGCGCGCCGAGCGGGAGTTTTGGCGGTGCCTCGCCGATGGAGCGGCGGCAGGGCGCCGACAGCAAGCCTGCACGGTCCTGGGCATATTCTCGGGTCGGGCGAAAGGGGTAGCAAAGGGGGGGTTTGAGGATCAGCTCACGTAGCTGATTTTCCCCGCGCCTCCCGGCGCCGGAGGCGGCCACGTATCGAGGAATGGGCCCCTCGGTGAGGCCGAAACCAGCTGCATGCAGCAAATTTCGTACCCCCCCCTTTCCCAATCCCCCCCTTTCGCCCGACCCGATATTCTGGGAGGCTGGTGGGGGGGAACTTGCCATGGAAGCCCTCGGGGGCCTCCAAGGAACGGGCTCTCCTTTTTGATGCATGTTTTATGTTGTGCGTTGCGTTCTTCTGTTTCTGTGCAGCTTCACCTCGAAGAAGTGGCCTCTGAGTCAGATGGCGGGAGGGCCTCCAAGAAGCACCCTGTCTCCCCAAAACAGGCCGCTCTCCTCGCACGGCCTTGTGCCCAGACATCTGGCGGATGGACACCAAACAGTGTGTTCTTGCGCTCTGGCGATGTATACACACATCTCTATATAGACACACATCGTGATACCTATATCTGCAGAAGTGTGTAAACACACGCATGTGGGGCGCATCCAGTGTGGAAAATCACGAGTGTCGTGCAAAATGCGTATAAACTGTCTGACTCGAATGCGCGCGTGTATGGAATGTGCGTCGCATGTGTGCACTTGCTCCATAAAGCTGAACACACACACACACACACACACACACACATACACACACACACACACACACACACGCGCACACACACACGCATTTGTAGGTATGGATGTATGTATGTGTGTATGGATGGACGGATGGATGCATGTATCGGAGATTAGGCGGTGAGATCGCAGTGATACGGAGACCCCCCACCGACAAATCGGTTTCGGTTTCGTGTTCGTGTCGCGCGTGCGGGCGAGGCGAAGCTGCGCGTGATCCTCCTGTAGCTAGGCCGAAGTAGGAGCGAAAGTCCGTTCCCGTCCGCCGGTGGCTGGGAGGTGTCCCACTTGGGCCGGGCGGTGTCTCCGGTGCCCCAGGTGTCAGTAGGAGCGACACTCCGTTTCCCGTCCGCCGGTGGCCCGGACGTGTCCCAGTTGGGGGGCGGTGTCCCGGGTGTCCCGGGCGTCCGGGCGCTAACGCATGTCGCGAATTTCATCATTCATTTTTTCCGGCGCCTGCGGCGGGTTTTCTTATCCAATCCAGCATATCTTATCCAATCCATCTTGTCCAATCCAATACATCTGATCTTATCCAACCCATATTGCCCCATCTTATATTATCCCACCCAATCGAATCCACCCAACCCAATCCATCAATTCATTCGTGTCTGCGCTTGCGGCGGGACAATCCAATCCATCTTCTAGTATCCAATCCATTTCTTCCTACCAAACCATCTTATCTTATCCAATCCATTTTATCCCATCCAATCCAATCCAACTTGAGCTCACGGAGGAGCACTCCAGGACGTGCCGCAAGTGGCACCAGGCCCTGCCAGTGCAAGTGATCTCATCTGGCGCCAGTGGCACCAGGCTCTGCCAGTGACTGGTTGGGCGCCGAGCCCTCGACGCACGCCGAGGCAGCCGCTGCTGACCACAGTGACACGCCGAACACGCTGAGGGGCAATCTGTCGCGCTCCCCGCCGCCGTGGTGACTCAAGCGGGGCGCGAAAACAATGTATGAATCATAGTTGCCACCGCCATCGCTGCTGTCAGCACCGCCGCACCCATCACCCATCGCCGCTGCCATCATTGTTGTGGAGGGGGAGACTGAGATACTATATACATATATTATATATATTATAATATATATAAGATGTGTGCAATATATAAAATGCTCGTCGCCCCCACCCCCCCCCCCCAAAGATCTACATGTTCGTGCCCTGTTCATGTCTTCAACTCATCTCTTCCTCATCCTCTTCTTTGCTCTCCATTGCCCTCCCGCTCCCAGGTGGCGAATTGTTCCAGTCACATACGGGGCGACATGTTCCAAGGGGCGACGTGCCCCAGATCACGCAGGGGCGAACTGCTCCATCCAGAGACGGGGCGATAGGCTCCAAGGGGCGAGATGCTCCAGATACATAGGGGCGAACTGCCCCATCCAGAGACGGGGCGAAATGCTCCATCCAGAGACGGGGCGATAGGTTCCAAGGGGCGAGATGCTCCAGATACATAGGGGCGAACTGCCCCATCCAGAGACGGGGCGAACTGCTCCATCCAGAGACGGGGCGAAATGCTCCATCCACAGACGGGGCGACAGGCTCCAAGGGGCGAAACGCTCCAGATACATAGGGGCGAACGGATCCATCCAGAGACGGGGCGAAATGCTCCATCCAGAGACGGGGCGAAAGGCTCCAAGGGGCGAAGCGCTCCAGATCACACAGGAGCGAAATTCCCCAGTTCTGCGTTGCATTGCGTTGGATTGCATTTGCATTGTTGCAGTAGAATGCTTTCCAGTACAATACGTGCAT